GTGTGCTTTGATAAGTTAGTTGCAATACGATAATGTAGATGTGATGATGTTTCTTTTTTATAAATAAAAAAAAGATGTTTTAGAAATTTATATTTTTGTACATTGATAGCCTTCAATTGGCTATGAAGGTGGAAATAATGTTTACATTACAGTAGTCATTTTTTCTACTTATAAACATATCCAATTTAAAAAGAGTTCCTCAGTTTTATTTTAAAAGATCTTTTACAAACTGTATGTCATTATATTTGGGTAGCCCTAGGGGGCGCCAGAGTTCAAGAACTAGTTTCCCCAGAGATCTAACTATTGAAGCTTAGTAGGGATTTAGATGGTCATCCAAGTTTAGGGTTTCCTTAAAGAACTTCTTAAATTTTTCCTTATTAGACAGGAAACATCAGAAGTGTTGGCTCAGCTGTTTATTTACTCAAATATTGTTTTTGAGCAAACTCTCTGATGTGAAGTAGTGAAATCCATCATATCTTTGGAGGTCAGGTTGTTTTTATGCCCTGCAAAAGTAACCAGAGAGTAAAAATCTTTTTTGTCATTGAAAGGTTCAGATAACAAAACAAGTCAGATAACATGTGCGTTAAATCTGAAGGCTTTAGAGACAATCCTTCTGTCTGAAGAGTGATTCCCATAAAAAAAAAGGCAAACTTTAGGTCTACACATTGAAAATTCTACAACAGAAAAATAATTAGTATATCAAAATTACAAAGATTTCATTCTGCCATATATAACCACTTTTAGGGAGTATAAACTCCCATGGTTAATGAGTCTCACTGGAACTCAGACACCAGGAGCTCATCTTATAATAATGAAGAGACCATCTGTGGAAGTTGGATGGAGGTGAAACTGCTAAAGACTTTTATGTTGTGTTCTACTAGTTCAAATTGTCCAGTGCACTTCCAAAAAGGTAGCTATTATATGGCAGTTTTTATAGATACATACCCTACCCAGGTAATTTGTTTTATGATTATACAGGTGCTGGTCATAAAATTAGAATATCATGAAAAAGTTGATTGATTTCAGTAATTCCATTTAAAAAGTGAAACTTGTATATTATATTCATACATTACATACAAACTCATATATTTCAGATGTTTATTTTGTTTAATTTTGATGATTACAAATGACAACAAATGAAAATCTCAAATTCATCATATCAGAAAATTAGAATATTGTGAAAAGGTTCAAAATTGATGGCCCCTGGTGCCACACTCTAATCAGCTAATTAACTCAAACCACCTGCAAAAGCCTTTAAATGGTCTTTCAGTCTAGTTCTATAGGCTACACAATCATGGGGAAGACTGCTGACTTGACAGTTGTCCAAAAGACGACCATCGACACCTTGCACAAGGAGGGCAAGACACAAAAGGTCATCGCTAAAGAGGCTGGCTGTTCACAGAGCTCAGTGTCCAAGCACATTAATAGAGAGGCGAAGGGAAGGAAAAGATGTGGTCGAAAAAAGTGTACAAGCAAGAGAGATAACCGCACCCTGGAGAGGATTGTGAAACAAAACCCCTTCAAAAATGTGTGGGAGATTCACAAAGAGTGGACTGCAGCTGGAGTGAGTGCTTCAAGAACCACCACACACAGACGTATGAAAGACATGGGTTTCTGCTGTCCCATTCCTTGTGTCAAGCCACTCTTGAACCACAGACAGCGTCAGAAGCGTCTAAAGAGAAACAGGACTGGACTGCTGGTGAGTGGTCCAAAGTCATGTTCTCTGATGAAAGTAAATTTTGCATTTCCTTTGGAAATCAAGGTCCCAGAGTCTGGAGGAAAAGAAGAGAGGCACTTCATCCACGTTGCTTGAAGTCCAGTGTAAAGTTTCCACAGTCAGTGATGGTTTGGGGTGCCATGTCATCTGCTGGTGTTGGTCCATTGTGTTTTCTGAGGTCCAGGGTCAACGCAGCCACATACCAGGAAGTTTTAGAGCACTTCATGCTTCCTGCTGCTGACCAACTTTTTGGAGATGCAGATTTCATTTTCCAACAGGACTTGGCACCTGCACACAGTGCCAAAGCTACCAGTACCTGGTTGAAGGACCATGGTATCCCTGTTCTTAATTGGCCAGCAAACTCTCCTGACCTTAACCCCATAGAAAATCTATGGGGTATTGTGAAGAAGAAGATGCAATACACCAGACCCAACAATTCAGAAGAGCTAAAAGCCACTATTAGAGCAACCTGGGCTATCATAACACCTGAGCAGTGCCACAGACTGATCGACTCCATGCCACGCCGCATTGCTGCAGTAATACAGGCCAAAGGAGGCCCAACTAAATACTGAGTGCTGTACATGCTCATACTTTTCATGTTCATACTTTTCAGTTGGCCAACATTTCTATAAATCCTTTGTTTTTATTGGTCTTCAGTAATATTCTAATTTTCTGATATGATGAATTTGAGATTTTCATTTGTTGTCATTTGTAATCATCAAAATTAAACAAAATAAACATCTGAAATATATGAGTTTGTATGTAATGTATGAATATAATATACAAGTTTCACTTTTTAAATGGAATTACTGAAATCAATCAACTTTTTCATGATATTCTAATTTTATGACCAGCACCTGTACAGGTTAAAAAAAAAAAAAAGGAAAAAAATGTAAAGCTACAGTGTGTAATAATTACAGGCATATAAATTCAGAAATTTAATATATTATACATAACTATGTTATTTATCATCACCTATGAGCTCAGCCTTTTAACCATAACATTTGCGTTGCCTTAGAATTCGTTATTTATAATTACATAGGAGCGGGTCTCGCAGCCATGGAGGCTGACATCTTTGCGCTACGGCAGCGCAGAGGCAACAAACTAGCGATTGCGAGATCTCCCATGACGCTCGAAAATAACTACGGCAAGTTGAGAGAGATGAACTGAGACGGTACTGAACAGTAGATGGCAGTATTATGCCTGAGAAGCGTTTAGTCTGCCTGAAACCAAAGAAGAAGAAGAAGCAGGTATACTGCGCCTCGGTAACAAGAAAGGTAAACAAGGCGGCAGGCGTGAGTGACTTTGCAAACTGTTTGGCACTGTGTGGCCAAACATCAGACGAATGGAGGATCATGCCTACTCTGTATCACAACGAAAAGCGGCGGACACCGAACCCCCGTCATCTAAGAAGCGGAAACACGACGAGAATAAACGCAAGAGTGACAAGAAACGACAAAAAACACGGATCAACATTGGCACGGCATTTACACGATGGAAGTCACTGATGGAGGAAAAAGGTTTTCAAAGTGACGCTCAAGTTGCCAGTTTTCTCTTGGACAGGTAATTAATCCTACACACACAATTGTCTAATATCACTGCAGTTTTTGGAGTACAGGATGCTCAGACCTGTCTAAAACAATAACATGCTGCGGAGTGATGTTGCTGTTCCTCTCCAGTATACTTATTCAGCAACGTCCCTGACGTTTCACAGGTAATGATTCAGTAATTTTCTGTAAAATAATTTTCTGGATATATACCTCGGTTACTTCTCTCCGGCTCCTTTGGAGATCTTCAAGCCTTTCCTCCTCTGCTCTAGTCACCCCGCTGGCTCCCCTCTCTCGCCTGGCCCCAGCTGCACGCTCACCCCGGCCTCTCTGCCCTCTTCCTTTCCCTCTTCCTTGCCTTGTAACCCCTCGTGCCACAAACAAGACTTGGACTCTGTAAACGGGGAATATATATTCTTCCAGCGAACACAATCTCGCTGTTAAACTAATGACTACAATTACTTCGTCTGTTTATATCACCATGCAAAGCAGCTCACCAAAACGTCACAACGACGTAGAAAAAATAACGGGTATATTTATTATCTTAAGTCTACATGAAATCTATACCCTACACAGACTAATGAAATACTATCTGTAAAATTATCTATGTAAACAAACCTCATCACTTGAGAAGGTAGGTGATGCGGACGTCGTGGAAGACATTTTGTCCCGTAACGCTCGCCGTACTGTTGGGGGGGAGAAGCGGTGGGGGGGAGACGTTCATGTTGCTGCAGTCTGCAGTCTGACCGCTAGATGTCGCTGAAAATTACACACTGTAGCTTTAAGACATCCTTGAGGATATGGAAATAATTCAGATGTTTCTTTGGACTCCAGACATATTCGCTGTGCGCTCCAGTTACAAAAAAACCATGTAGATAGTGCTTTTAATATTTTGTCCAATTTAAAATTTGTATATAGATCATGTTTTTTCCTCTTTTGAGCAGCTAACTAAAAAATTCTCTCTTCCTAGGCAACATTTCTTTTTTAGATATCTACAGATTTGTGGGTTTGTTGGTAGATTTTCTCAGTTCCCTGCTCAACCCCCTGCATCTCCCCTTGACATGTTTCTCAACGCTTTCTCTGATCTGAAAGGAATGATCTCATTTATTTATGTCCAGATTTATTCCTTAAGGCTAACTCCCTTAAAGTCTCATGAGATGCTCGGGCAAGACGAGTTGGCTGAACAATTTACGGATGTGGAAGAGGATGCCTTTGAAAGTTCATGAATTATCTATTTGCTCCAAAGATTCATTCATTCAGTGCAAAGTGTTGCATTGTTGTGCCCACCTGACAAAGATTAGGCTCTCAATAATGTTTAGGGATGTGGATCCTGTCTGTGATCGCTGTGGTCTGGCTAATGCAAGTCAAACGCATGTGTTTTGGTCATGTCTTGTCTTGAGTTCTTACTGGGGACACATCTTAATTCTTTATCTAAAACGACCAGGAAATGAATTGAACCCTATGCTATCATTGCTTTATTAGGTGTATCACCCCCCGATGTCCGTTTGTCTTCTTTGGAGGAAACTTTTGAAGCCTTTGCTTGTTAACTGGCTTGGCGCCTTATTTTGTGGAGTGGAAGTCTAAATCATCACCATCACATGTGCACTGGATCTGACAAGTTCTTTATTTTTCTACATTGGATCTGTGTATGTCTATGTGTATGTGTATTTTTTCTTACTGCAGGAAATCCATAAAATTTGAGAACAATAAAAAAGGGTAAACAATCTACCCTTCACAAAACCGTGATGAAAACATTTTCTTTAATTCCATGTTTATGTAAAATGAGTTAAAAGCCATGAAGTTTTATAACTGCCATCAGGGTCACTCTGTTGGAGAAGACAGTAACTCTGGGTTGAATAAAGCGACAAATGAGACTCCTGAGCTGCAGGTCACAGATTACTCCCTCTTTTCTACATGGGCTGCTGTTTATTTTTCTATTTGATCTGATGTATGGCACCTTATAGCTGCGCATAGTTTCTTTTCACACATTAAGCGTTCTCCTTTGCTGTATAGTCTCTTCTTAGTTTTTATACCTTCATGCTATTATTTGCCTTTTTGTTTTGTTGCTGACAAATCTGAATTTCCTATCTAAATATAAAATCTATTTCTACTCGATTTTTCTGTAGCACCTCAATTCTTTTCAGGGTTCTGGGATATCAGTATTTAAGAGCATTTTCGAGCTACCAGCTGGCATGTTGTTGAATTGTGTGAGAAACTATATATATATGACAAAGAATACATTTCTTAAAAAAGGCCTCAACCTCCCTGAGATTTAAACCCAGCACCTTCTGACCGTAAGGACTAAGGACGAGTCTACACTGCTGCCCTCAAAGCCTGTACATTCATGCTTTATTTCCTATTATTTAACCTCCCATGGAGCAAAAACTTTAAGATACGGTGCCAAACATTCCTCAGGAATGAAGGATTTTGACACCAGAAAATAAACTCTCATTATAAGCTACAAAAAGAAGAAGAAAAACAAAGAAAACATTTTCTATTTGCACAGATTTTCTGTAATATTTCTATATTCACCGTCCTATTGGATTAAAAAATAAAAAGTCACATTCTATTTTCCACTCTTTAGTTGTTCACAGTTTAGTGCTGAATCCAACTTGAAATGTTTCCTGTCCAAGGCTCATTGATAAATCTGAAGCCCTCGTCTTATTCACATCCTCCTCCTCTTCAAGCTCTGCAGGGATGCTAACAGCCGCTTCCTCAGTGGCGAATTCATTCCCTGTCGCCCCAGGATTCTCATAAACGCTTTCCTCGTAGATAGAAGAGGGAGACGAAGAGGTGTTGGCGTCTGTGGAGACGGTGGGTGTTGGCACAGCGTTGAAGGTGATGAAGCCAACAAGGATGACCACGAGGGAGACCAGGTAGAGTCCAGAGAACTGAGGTGATGCAGAGAGTAAAGAGTTTTAATCTACAAACTGATAAATAAAGGGGGAGACGTAGAAAGGAAACGCTGATTCTGAAACATATTGGTGAACAAAATGTGAAGATCAGACACTAAAATGCAATGCTTCCATTGTCACACAGTAACATTCATTGTTAAAGGAAGTACAACCTGTTTTCTTTCTAATGTTTTACTCATCAGAACAACAAATAAAGAAGTAAATCCTTTGCTTTACTGTCTTGTCTTTCCTCTGGCAGCAACAGCTTGTTGTTCTCTGTTTGGTTATGAAGCTTATCTCATTTTCTAGTGTTGCTTAAATCTTTTGAGGTTTCCAGACATTTGTTTCTGCTCAGGTGATCCCAGCAGAGCTTTTTAATAGAGTCTATGCACTTTGGTAAAATCGCCTGTACTTGTTTAGCGCTTTTATAAGTCAGGAGTCTTGACCAAAGCGCCTCACATTACATTCAGTCATTTACCCTTTCACTCACACACTGCTGGTGGTAAGTTACACGGTAGCCAAAGCTTCCCTGGGGCTCACTGACAGAAAGAAGGCAGCAGTACACTGGGCCCTCTAACTGCTGCGTGTGTCACAAAAACACAACAGTACTGAAAGCCAGAGCCGAAGCTTGAACGTCAACCCTTCGATTTCAGGGCAAACTCCCACATCGGACGCCACTGTCGCCCCTATAACACCCCTACAGGCCATCTATGGACTTTGACTGGACCATTATTTTCTGCTTGCATCACTGAACCTTTAAAAAGACTTCTTTGTGAATCTAAAATACTTTGTTATACAGAGAACTTTATTTAACTTCCCTATGTGATTAATAAAGTTGTTTTGAATTAAATTAATGAATCAACGTAAATTAAATTGAATTGAACTGAATTGACTTGATTTCAATTTAATTCAGTTAAATTTGTTATAATATATTTTTAATAATTTCTGACTCATGAATTGAAGAAACCCATACCCTGTGCAACAAAACAAACCCAAGCAATCACACCTCCTCCACCGTGCATTATAATTGTGTAGGTGCTGATCTGCTGGGCTTCCTCTTCTTTAATGCTGTGCACTTTGGTCAAATATCTTAATATCTCTCATTTGTCCAAATAAAAATTTTCCAGGAGTCTTTTTAACCAAATACAATGCTGTCAAAGTTATGCTGTTCTCCTTTATTCTGTTGCCTATTTATATAGGGGGAAACTGCTGTCACAGGAATATTTAATGTTGTCTCCACTTCTGAAAAGCTTTTCTTAATGTTATATCTCTTTTATTGATTGGGATCATCACACACCTTTACTAACATCGTGATTAGATAGTGTACTTTCTGAATCCAGATGATAGTGAGACTGCAGGTTAACTTTAGACATTTATTCATTAACACTCCAGAATCTTTATAACAATCTCCAGGTTACTGTGACCCAGGGAGGAGTGTGGAGCACAGTACCTCACTTAAAGCAACATAAACTGACTTTGGATGGATCTGCTTCTAGTAAATATTAAAATTTAAAATAAAACACAGAAAAAGGCGCCAACTCCTGCTGTTCTCTGGCTCACGCTGTCAGTTTACAGCAGTACAGCCTTCAGGGTTAAAGCTGTGCGTCACGTTTTTTGCTTGTTTCCAGTGATAACAATCTTGAAGATAACGTATCTGGATCAGAATAAGACAACATAAGAACATAGATAAAAAAACGGATGTCTGTTACTACTCATCATCTTCTAATATAGCAGAACATTTCTAAAATATCAAGGTCATTTTTATATGAAATCTTTCTTTGTGTTTTTTGTAATTCATTCAGATTCATCTGCAGGAGCATGCATCTGAATCATCTTTATGGCTCGTTAGGATTTTTTACCTGGGAATTGAGCAAAGAGTTAAAACATGGTTGGGTTGAAAGGTCCTACAGAAGTTTTTAAGGAAGCCTTGAAGTTTCCTTAAACTTTAGATAATACATAGCCTTTGAGCTATTTTTACACATAGTATTTAAACTCCCTCAGACAAATATAAACTGTCCCAGCTTTAAAACAAAGTGGTGGCAGCATAATGCTGTTGGATTATTTTGTGCATTAGGGAAGCTCGCCAGAGTTGAGCTAAATATAAAAACTCCTGCGACAGATGTCCTTCTGCAGGAGGGATGTTAACCCTAAACATACAACCTTAGTTCCAGTAGTGTGGATTCCAACCTAAAGTTGGTCCTTGGAGAATTTGCTCCCATATTTTAGATGTTCTCCTGACTCAACACATCTAAATCAAATTAATGGTTCATTAACTTGGCACTAGGTGACATCCTGAGAACTTAAAAATCCATTTGAAATTAGATTTTCAATTAAAGAAAATATTTATAAACCACATATTTTCATAGGTTGTGTGAGTCTCTAAAAAACTCTCAAAAAGTATAGTTTGTGGGTCTCGCCTCACTCTATGTTGAGTTCAGAAGGAGAACCTATGTAGATTTTTTCGCCTTTTTACGAAACATAATTTTTGTATATTTTTTTTTCAGCTAAAATAACGTTGCTCACATTGTACTGGAAGAGGAAGATCCCAAAGAAGAGGCTGAAGAGATCTGCGGTTAGGAGGGAGAGGTTGACGGAGGTGGCGCTGCTCAGTTTCATCACTATGGGCATGAAGCTGTACAAAGCATACATGCACAAAGCATAAGCAGAGAACAGGAGCCCTGAGAAGAGAGAAGAAGTGTGTTTAAATCAGACAAAATGAATCTTTTCTGTATATAAAGTGATTTAAGGACTGTAGCTGTTTCTACGCAAGCAGCCCGTTATTATTATCAAAAAAGGTGGGTGTGTGTGTGGGCAAAATTTCCATAAAAATTGAAAAAAAATAAGAGATACATCACTGCACAAACAAATCTCATTTATTTAATAATTTTCTTAAAGAAAACTTTCTTGCAATCTTTCAAAGAGATGCTGATATAAAAACAAATCCTTCAGAATTTCTGAAATAGTTTTGGATCCTGACTTTGTCTAATTTATTCACTTTCTACCCCAGAATCAAAACAGATTAAAGAAAACCCTCGAAATACCGGAGAAACATTTGATAAACCAAGTATTAAATGTGCACTAATCATTAAGCAGGTATTGGCAGGTCAAGATCAAATATTCCTGGAAGAATAGACAAAAGCTCTCCTACTGGGGGCATTTTTCAAATTGCCATTTTTAACCCCAGTAGGTAAAATTAAGAAGCGTAAAAAAATTCTGATTAAACAAAGAATGAACGTGTCTGGTATTACAAAACAAACATATTTCCTGTTTTAATTCTTAGAATAAGGTTTCATATAAAACACCTTTCAGTTTCAATAAGCTGCACCATTAGATGACAGCAAAGCTGATTACTGACCAACTTGCCAGCTCCAGATGATGCCGGGAATCTCATTGCGCTCTAGGATCACCCTGCATATAAGATAATGGGGAAAAAATTAACTCCAGGTAAAAAACTATGTAAAATCGATTCAGGTCGCTGATGACGGCTCACATCTGGACGGTGCTGATGATGGTCCCAAACAGGCCAATCATTCCTAGGAACTCCACTCTACTCAGATTCTTCACTGTGTACTCCTGAGACACATTAGACACAGCATACAGAGCTGCACTGAGCAGCACCAAACCGTCGCCTAGTAAGATGTTGGAGGCTGCACAGAGAGTAGATGCAACTTCAGGTAGGAGACCTTTCTTTCAATTAGAGCTTATGGCCTAATAAAACAATTTACTGTCAGGTTTTAAAGGGACAAGATACAGATGTGGGGACAGTAGGAGCATAGTGAGCTCCTAATCCTTACACAGCAAAAAAATTATCTATTTTTTCTTAAAATAAGTGTTTTCTTTTTTAAATTGGGGAGGTAAGTGAGACACTTTGCCAATGGAACAAGGGAATTTACATTTGAAATAAGAAAAAAACAATTGAATTGTCTTATTTCAAGTTCATATTAACTAATTGTCTTATTTTAAGAGTAAAAATACTCATTGCATTGGCAAATCATCTTATTTACCTTTTCAAAAATGGGTAAATACACTTAATTTAAGAATGTTTTTAACTTATTTCCAGATAGTTTTTGAGGTGTAATAACTCAGGAGGGTACAGATTAGGATGAGGAGAGAAGATCTAATGATGGATGAACTTGAACATGAAGAGTTTAAACTGGGAACAGAGAGGAGCAACAGTACTAGTAAACTACTGACACAAATGGATAAACTAAGATGAAAATCCTCCCACTCCTAAAAAAATACTTTTTTCAGAATTGAAGCAAAAACAAAATGCTGGGGGGAAAAAAGAGTCTAAAAAAGAAAAAGAAGGGTTAGGTAAATCCATAACTCTGATTTAGAAACCTCTCTCTCTTACAGGAGCCCTGGTCTCTTCCAGCCAGCAGGTCAGCCCCCACCATGGCCCCCACCCCCAGCAGACAGAGGCAGACGGCCACATAATGGATCAGCTTATAGCGGGTCTTCAGAATCCACCAGGACAGAAGCATCAGGACCGGGATCACAAAGCAGTCCAGCAACTGGAGTAGAAAACAAGCAAACCTGACTCAATCATAATAAAAACAAAGCACAGCTTATGGGAAATGATGGAAATAATCTTGACAAATTTATTTAAATCAAATATTAGGTAAAAACATTTTGCATGTATTAAACAGTAAACATTAAATGAAAAAGCTGTGTATAAAAAAACTAAGTACACCCCATGGTCCATCAACCTGTAGAACAACCTTCAGCACCAATAACTTTCTCTCTGATTTTATCAGTCTCTCACGCCCATCTGTCCAATCTCTACGCCTGCTTGTCCTTGCACTGTTACTGAGGGGTCAAGGGCGAGAGGCGGGGTACAACCTGGACAGGTCGCCAGTCCCTCACAGGACAGCAATAAAAACAGAGCTACAGCCATGCTCACACTCACTAGGCCAATCTAAGGGGACCAGTAAACCTAACATTCATGTTTTTGTTTTCAGGCAGCAGAAGGAAGCCTTAGCACCTGGAGACAAACCACTCATGCATGGGGATGAGATCAAACCCCTTGGAGAACGAGTCCTGGGTTTGGACTAATGAGAAAAACCTGCAAAGTAACAGTGACACCAGCTGTGCCGTGCTGCAGACCATCTCCCACAACATTATGCACCGTTTTGTCATCTTTCCTTCTGCACCGCTCTAAATTTCACACTTTGAGCTGGACTTTAACTGGGCCAATGCAACACCTTGGTCCTTTCGTTTTTCAGACATTTTAATAGATTTCGTCTGTTTGGGATTATAGTTCTGTTAAAGATAGTTTGAACCAAACAGATAGGCTTAATTTCTATGATCAAATTATGTGGAAAAAACCTCCAGATGACTGAAAAGTGCTGAAAGCCTGAGTTCTTTTAAGTTGAAGTTAGACTGTTAACTGATGTACTATTAGTTTAGGGCTGTGGTTCAACTGTTTCATTAGCTACCTGCTTTTATAGTTTTTAATCTTTACTGGCTTTTATTCTGCTTTTATTTTTCTTTTATATTGTTTATTTCATGTAAAACACTTTGAATTGTCTCTGTATAATACTATAGTACAATATATAAATTAATTTGCCTTGCCTTAAAACCATTGAAAGCAGAAATAATACATTGATTTTGGTTGTTTGTATTACATGCAATGTACTGAAAAAATGAAAGCTAGGATATTAATGTAGCTTCTTTTTTATACTTTACTGCAGAATTAAATTATAGTGAAGGAAGAGCAAATCCAAAACATTGAACTATGACCTGATTATTAATTGGCTAAACAAAGTCTCTGAAATGACAAATGCAACTTAACATGAAACCATCACACATGATCAAACAGGTGGGATGTCTGAGATTAAGACATGTAAGCTGAAGGAAAACATCCAGTACTCACCTGCACGCTGGTGAGAGTGGTGTACTGATAGGCTTTAACCACGGTGTAGTTGGCCTCCACGTCCACCAGACCCAGCAGTAGGTACTTCCACCATCTTCTCTTAAGAATCTGTAAAATATTTCCATCCCCTGCATTTTAAAGGGGATCACCCCTGAGTTTCAGTAATGAAAAGTGTTTTTTTCCAGCAAGTATGAGGACAGTTAATCAGACTATAAGTTGATCTGATTAGTTTATGATACTGCAGATGATGACGCAAATGATCCGTCTCATCACTGAAAATCTATTAAACTGAAAAACTGAAGAACAGTGAAGCTTCCAGGTGTAGAATTGTCTGGAATTTGTGAAAAAAATAAAAATAAAAAGCGTTGTTTTGTTATGTTGTTTTTTGTTTTTTTTCAGAAAAACTTAAACTTCAAACTCATGGAGAGCTATTCATCAAGTCTGAAAGGTTGTTTACCAGCAGAATTTTTGAGGCCATTCCAGATAAAAAAGAAAAAGAAAACAGCAATCAGCTGTACCACTAAATATAAACGTTTAGATAAAGTTGGCCTTCCTGCTGCTAGTAGTCCTACCTCTCCTGCAGATCAGCATGGTGGTATAGGTGGCACACAGCAGTGTGTAGTTCAGGAAGCTCTGCAGCATAGGTGTGTTCACCTGGAACTCTGTGGCCAGGTACTGAGAGGATACGGCGGTGCCACAGATGAGACCCGCCAGACCCTGACCCATGGCCAGTGTCTTAGCAAGCTGCCTGCAAAAGTATATATCAGTTAGAGACATGAATATGTGTCCATTTCCTAGAGGATATTAAAATCTTAAAGATAAAACAAAATAATTTGAAATATAAAAGTGGTGAGAAAGCTCACAATTTGCTCACAATAGGGGTAGGTGGCAACACTGATACATCTTACAAGACCTGCAAGCAACGCATTTTTGTCATGTATCCGAATTTTTTACCTTATTGTATATAACTGAGGTAGTTTAAACTATATGACTTGTCAATGACGTGAAATCTAAACCAAAGGACTTAAGACTCGACTGTAACACATTTAGACTAACTTCTAACTTGGATGGTAATGACTTGGTCCCACCTCTGAATTATTCAATACCAATGGTGTTCAGTTTTCCAGGTCAAGGACCCCCAAACTGATTGCGAGATGGAGCAGGGACCCCTTATTATATATATTATATTTATATATCGTGTTCTATCAAACTGGTCCTATAGTCACTCTATTACAGATGGAGTCATGTAACGAAAGTAATTTGGCCCTGGGATTGTTAAAGTATTTCTGATTCGGATTCCTCATTGATGGGACAGGTGTTGTGAATGAAATGGTGCCCGGCTTGAAAGAGCTCCTGTATGTCGCTGAATGTTTGAATTGATGACTGAAAGACATCTTCTGCCTCCATTTATCTGTTTACTACAGTGTGTTGAATTCATGTTTATGTGGATTTAAAGACATTTCAATTAGTAGAAAAATTGCAGGGAGGAATATAAAAAAAAAGTCTAATCAACCAAAATGTTCGCGACCCCCATGCACTACCTCCATGGACCCCCTAGAGGTCATGGACCCCCTGTTGAAGACCTCAGCTCGGTACCATCCACTTTGAGCATAACACCGGTATGCATATCATTGGAAACAATATATATATATATATATATATATATATATATATATATATATAACTTTTCTTTTAAGTGCTTTGAAACTTTTGTTGTTAATTGGTGCTTTAAATATAAACCAAATAAAACTGGATTAATTTGAAAACATGACACTTGTTGGTAACACATAAGCCAACATTTGATATCACTTTGAAACAAAAGATTATCTTCAGACACGTAGCTTTGGAGGACAAACTGTTGCTCTTGTAAGGACCCAAATGAGCTGACTAAACATAAAATATATAAGGTAAACCATTTGTTCATTTTATGTAGGTCTAAGCTGCCCCTGATCTTTAAAATATTCATGTTTAAATTCAACAACACAAAAATAAAAAAATAAAACAGTCACTTAAAGGCATGTAGGGAATTTATATGGATCCATTAGGCAACATGCACTGCACCTTACAGCACAGGACAGTACATGTATGTATAAGTTACAAAACATATGTTAAATTTATTTTATAAAATTCCATTGCGTTACAAAGAAGATCTTTTTTTTTTTGTCAGTGATAGCTTCTTGCTTAAGTTTTTTTTATATATATATAAATTGCAGGACTCTTTTTTATTACCTGAGGATTTGTCTTTGTCCAATTCGGGAAGCGGAAAATTACAAAATATCTGTTATCATCTATCCATTACAGATACGGTTGCTTAAGTCCTTTAAATTTAATATCTATACAAAGTTTGAATTAAATAGCAATTTCTCAGTTGTTTTTCTCAGAGGTTTCCACAAACTTCCCCAATGAAGAAGTTATTTTATCCACTCACCAAGTGAGAACCTCCGATGGTTTGAACGCTCTGAGCTTCATCAGAAATCCATTACATTGGCCCTCAGAGTTATTTCCCTCGCCGGGCTCCTCGGATTGTTTAGCAGCCATGCTCTCTCACTACCGCAGCTGAAGAGTCCTCTGAGTTTCAGGCTCTTTAAAATCCTTTCCTTTCATTGTTTTGGAGCTGAATGATTAACTATCTCAGTGGTCAAAGGTCATTCCCTTACTTATCTATATTTTTAAAATGCAGTTAGAAGACAATCAGCACTGCAGCATGGAAGATAAGAGCTTATAAGAGATACATGATGAAAGATTTGGCTTTAACTATTGTAATTGTAATATACTTTCACTTTTCTAAATGTAAAACCATCTGCATAATTAATCACGTTTTCCTCTTGTTAAAATTGCTGATGAGATCAGGAGGGGGTATCTATTTAACTTTATTTCAGATAAAATGGGTCAATCTCACATGTGCCACACAACTTTTTAACAAGTATATAAACACATCTGTTAAAAGCACCAGAAACAACAAAAACCATTAACAAACATATTAATAGTAACATTATTTATAATTGTTTTTAGTGATGTAAACTGAACGAATGAAGATACTAAAAAAACTTTTTTAATTTCCCTAGCTGTGTTGGAAGCTGGAGAAGTACCTCTCTTCTCCAGCAGAGTCCGCCGTGGATCCTCCTGAGCAGAGCCCTCTGCACAGCTGCTGCTCGTTACCATCATCAGGAGGACCCTCTACTTAAGCTGTCTTCAGACCTTGCCTCAACGCCGCAGTGTTGAGCCAGTTGGTTAGCACCTAAGCCCTGAACCTCTGAGAACTTTGCTTGCTCTGAGATCCTGACAGGATCCTAATCTTGTCTCTGTTTTTCCAGGAAAATCTGATCCTCCTTCGTGAAACTCTGGAAGAACTTAACCCACCGAGCCTGCCCTCAGAGCCAAACCTGAAGACTTCCCCTGGATTCTCTTGCAGCTCTGGACCAAGAGCTGGAGATCCTAAGTCAAGGTCAGCTACCTTTCAGAAGCAAGACGCTGAAGCAGCTAACGGACTCAGCTAATCAGACTCTCTCCAGTTCCAACAACCTTCCTCTCCAAGATCCATTCAAGGACCCACAAGGTACAAATCAGAGACTATCAAAGGACAAACCGCTAAGAGCCCAGCTAACTAACTGTCTTCCTCACAGACTCCGGTGAACCCGTTTGCCCAGGACCATAACCAGAACATACTATCGTTGGATTGTCTTCAATAAACTCTGTTAACTTTTCATCTGTTTCCTGTGTCGTGGTGTTCTGCATAATTGGGTCACATTAGTGTACCGATCATGACAAGCTGTGCATGATTATGTACTTTTATTTAAATACAGATGCAACTAAAATGCATTTTTGTCTTTATATCTTAAATAGTGTTTTAAACTATCTTAATGGTCTTGAGTTGTTTGGTACGTTTTTATTATAGAGATTCCTTGAGTGAACTGAAAGGTGGTTTTAACAATTTAGTACCTTTTATATTATTCATTATTTCACAGCAGAAAATCGATAGTAGCTCAAACAATGATAAATAGAATAAACATTTCAAGATTGTATTTGTCAGGTTAAGAAGAAGGGGTGGCTTTCATCTCCTGCTTTATCCCGGACCGGGTTACGGAGCCAGCAGTCTTAGTAGAGGCTTACAGACTTCCCTCTCTATAGACACCTGTAGTGACCATGCAGAGAAAGCTTGTTTTGGCCGCTTGTATCCGGGATTTAATTCTTTTGGTCATGATCCAGATTTAATGACCATAGGGGAGGGTAGAAACGTAAACTGAACAGTAAATCGAGAGCTTTTCCTTTTCACTAAGTTCACTCATGCAGCATCCACATTATAGCAGCAGCTGCAACAATCCGTGTATTGATCTCCTGCTCCATCCTACCCTCACGGGTGAACAGGACCCGAAGATACCTAAACTCCAACCTTCCAACTTCTCACCTGAAGGGGTCAAGCCACCTTTTTGAGGTCAAGAACCATGGCCTCTGACTTGGAGGACCTAATTCCCGCTTCACACTCGGCTGCGAACTGCCCCATAGGGCAGCTATGGCGGAATCCAACATGCACTGGGAACAGGTCCGACTTAACGTTGGCAACACAGACCAGGCTTCTGCTCCACTTGTACAGAACCCAGACAGCCCCTAGTAAAGGGCCCCAGATTCCTCAGTCCTGAAACACCTCTACAAGGCACTACGAGGGACCTGGTCGAATGCCTTCAGGTCCACAAAGCATGTGTGGACTGGCTGAACACCCTGTGAAGGGTGTAGAGCTAGTCCACTGTTCCATGGCAAGGACAAAATCCACACTACCCCCCTTGCAGTCAAGGTTTGACCATCGCCTCTCCTCTCCAATGTCTTGGCATAGGACTTCCCTGGAGGCTAGATAACTAAAATAAGATTGTTCCTGATCAAAATCACATTCCTAAACTGAAGCATAATCCCATCTTTTCTTTTTGCAGCAGAAACTGAAAAAAAACTGCAATATTTTACTATTAAGATTTAAGTTTTATATATCTAGAAATATTTACAAATTTTAAGCAACCTTTTTTAACATTTATTAGCATGTCTGAATATGTATTTATGGTATCTGAAATACTTTTCTCCATACTCAAAACAATACAAATGCCTACCAGTAACAATAGTAATATGGAGATCTATGGTTCATTTCTAGACCATCAGAATGTTTATTCTAAATGCAAAGAGCATCCTTATGTTTGAAATGGTCATTTTGACAAGGAAAAAATGTTTCTTCAGATATCAGGAATACATATTCAATAAAATTAATACATATCAAAACGGCTTGCCATAGTCTGTTGTGACCACGATAACATCAAGGTTTTACTTCTTGAATGCTAGTGGATCAATGTATCCGTTTGGGAGAAATCATCTGGCAGCAGATGGAGATAAAGTCTAAAAACATTGTTCTAATAGGACCTGTGCATCATCTCATGGAGATTATCCTCATGTTGATTGTGTCTACTATTACACAGGAAATACTAAGCAGCTGTTTGCAGCTGTATCAGATGTTATCATCGCAATACATGGTCGTTATTAGGGATGATCAGTCCCATAGAAAGGCCTGAGATTGTTTCAATAGGCTGAGTAGATTGTTATCACTGATTGAATCCTTATCCTCAAAACTTTTTCTTCAGTCTCAAATAACATTTGTTTTTGCTATCAGTGTGAATTTTTTTTCTCTAATATAATTATTTTATTTTCAAAATGATTTTCCCCCTCTCAGTTAGTTTTTTTCCTTGAGTTTAATAAAAGCAAAGAAATAACTCCATAGAAGGCTGACTTTCGCAATAGCCTCGACATTGTTGTAATAGGTTGCTGGAGTATTATTTAATAGAAAGGACATTTCACAACAGGACTTATCTCATAAGGGGAATGCGTCATAGCACAGCCCAAGAAATTTACTGAGATTCCTTCTTAAATAAATATTTATAAAAGCAGTTTGTATGTCTAAGAGAGGGGTTTTAACCTTCACAAGCCAAAGAGCTATTTTTCCTCTCAGTCCAGCAAAATCAAATTTACTTTGAGTTGCAAATATTAAGTTTGCTGAGAATGTACATAATTGTTGGTAAATATCTACACAAGACAATTTGTCTTTATTTTCATTGACTTTTAAAGGTTAAAAAAAATTATTTTTAAAAAATGTACAGAAGGGATTACTTTTTCTCTATAGCGTGCTGATTCTTCTGTAAATAGTGTAGCAAAGGACATTGTTTACGTTTATGGGGAAGAGGTGGCCTAGTGGTTAGGGCATTACGCTTGGAATCCAGAGGTTCTGATTTCAAGCTCCTATCCCACGTACTGCCGCTCTGGGTCCCAGAGCAAGACCCTTAACCCCACACTGTGCCCTGGGTGCCGCACAATGGCAACTCACTGTTCCCTAAGTGGATAGGTCAAATGCAGGGAAGAATTCCTCTAGTGTGCGATTAATAAAGTTCAATTATTACTATTATTATCATTACAACCTAATGACAGCAGCAATAGATCTGAAAAAAAAAAAAAACAGACGCACCGATCACCCAGCCAATGATCAGCTCTGGGTTTCATTGATTTAGGAGATTGGAGATCAGCTGATACTTAGATGTGAAACTGATCTTATCCTCTTCAAAGCTCTGAAAGATTTAACCCCCCCCCCCCCCCCCCCCCCCCCCCCCCCCCCCCCCCCCTGCTCCAAACGTTTCAGTTATACTTCAGATCATTATCTTGTGCAGGTTAAACAAGTATATTACATCATGGATATTGTTCAGTTTTCCTCAATAAAATAAGACGAAAACATTGAAGATGTATTGTGATCCCATAAAAGCCTTTATAAAAAAAAATCAGTGTTGACCAAAATCAGAATCAGCATGTCGGGGTTTTTAAAGATCGGTGATCAGGCAGGAAACTGTAATCAGTATGCCCCTATTAAAACTACAACACCTACGTTACTGGTACCTTAAGTGTTATTCTCATGCAAAGATTCAGCAGTTATTAAAGGAAATCCTATGATATTTATACATTTAAAAAAACACTAATTACCTCTGTATTTTTTATCTAAAGTATTTAAAATACAATCAAAGGGCCACTTGTAGCTTCACAACCACAGGTTGAAGAGAATAGGTTTGGATATTATACATCTGTGAACAACATAGAAGCGATTGAAACCCCTGAATAAGTGAGTTTTTCCCTTTAGTTTGCTTTAGTTAGCACATTTTTTTGAACCCACATTGTTCCATTTTTGTCACATGAAGTAAATAATGTGAAAGGGATGAATAATTGTTATTGTATGTTGCTCTCAGAATTCAGGTTATCTGCCCTGTCTGATCATTTTTACATTTAAATAAGTGATTTATTCTTTCTAATGAGTTTATTAAACTTTAAGATATTACCATGGATAAATTAAATGTAAAAGAATGAATAAAATAAGTCAAAAGGTTACTTTAACTCTAATAACTTGCATAAACTCTACTGATGATTGTCAAGCAAAACCCAATATTTTTTTAGTAAATGTCAGCTGTAAGCAAATGTTGTGTTGAATCCAAAATTATCATACATAAATCCATTTTTTAATGGAGTACTTTTAATGGGCCTGCAATTTAAATTCTGCTTTGGATCTTTATTCAGTTTATCTTTGACCTAGCCTTGCATGTAACATTTAACTATATTTCTACATTTCTTGACATTAAAGTATATATTTTAAGAAACACTAAGTTTGTTTAAAAGCAGTTTATCCTGGAGGCAAAATAAGTTTACCTTTCTGACTCTGGTGCATCAAGAACAATCTACTGCTCAGCTTGTTCTAAAACACATTATGGATTCTTTGTAAACCTGTTATCGTTCATTAAATGAAGTATGACTTTATTCACTTTTACTACACAATCTGAAACTGTTGAGGTTAGGTGAAATGATCATGAATATATTATTTTAAGGATTCAGACATTTATTATCAAATGTGTTTTAAAACCATGGCAAGATCTTTGGTGTGTTTTGAGTGTATTTTTTTCATCCATAAATAAACAGAAGTGTTTTTTTATTTTTGGTATAATAAGAATATTTCATTACATGTTGAGATGAGATTAACACATTTTGTAACAAATCTGTTTTTAGAAGCAGGGGTTTATTTCTGTGAACTGGGTTACCATTACCTAATCCTGAATACCTGTCTCGCGAGAATCCGCGAGGTGATAAGTTGGAGAAACATGGCGACGCCTAATTTGTTAAAGGTAAGAAGCCGCTGAATTACATTCACTGTTTCAGTGCATATTTAGGTCATTTGCTGTGATATATTTATAGGTTAACTGCCGATTAATGTTCTCGGGGCTTCCGCCTGCATGCATCTCCGCTAATGTTAGCATTTATGTAATAAAAGCTCCTAAAGGAGCGGGTGAAGTGGCCGCTACCGTTTGTGAAGTCTTGTGTTATACCGGGGTTTGTTTCCCGGATCACGTTCGTCCCCTTTTAGCTCAAATTTAACCAAACCTGTTCTAAAATTATGAACCTTGCCTTCTTCTTGATATTGTGAACCGGCAAAAGGAACCATGTCCGTTAGTTATTTGGACCCGGCTGCCCGAGGGGTGAACCAGAAGCAGCTCTCAGCCGAAGCTCTGAGAGAAACACGGTTAGAGAGGAACCCAGATCCCAACACAACAAACCCAACACACCCACAGAAGAACCCTGAAGCCACGGCTGATGTTTAGACTTTATCTTTCAAGGCTGAGCTGCTAAACTTAGCGTCTTTTTCCTGAAAGGCCTTCCTAAACACTACTCACCTCATCCAAAACTTTAATCTGCAGAGAAAGCTACGCAGATCACATCTAGCTGGACTTTAAACCCCCAAAATATCTGCTGACATGCAAGGTAGAGATGAAGCAAACCCAATCTAGACCCTACTGTGGTATTATCTTAACATTTCCAGTTAAACTTGGTTATCCTTAGATGTGACTGAAAACTTCATGCCAATATAAACTAGTTTAAAACTGCATTTTAATACATGTAGAACTATTAAGGCAGTTTGCTGGACAAGAGGATGCAATGAACTTTGCTCTTCATCAGTCTGGGAAATGTTAAAAAGGCTGCACCCAAACGATTGGATGTCTGTCATTATAATGTTATAAAAATGTCACAATTTTAAAGTGGCTAATATACTTGCAGATCCCTCTTTCCCTCCTTCCATTTATGTACAGGTCTGGGGTCCTGAAATAAACTAACATTTCCACAGACCCCCTCTCACCCTGAACTTACACCAATTGGTAATTTCCCTTCAATTATTTGCTACTAATTACTTTTTGGAGAAAAAAACAAACAAACTATAACTGCATCAGTAGTTTATCCCCTCAGCAGAGTCATTAAGCTTCAGTCCTCGATAGCTGGAATCCCAAAACTTTCTACACGGCAGGCTGAAATCCTCAGTATGAAGTCACAATCTCCACATCTGGGTACATTATGTAGTTATTCGGTCTTCCTGATGAATACATGCTGATCAGCCATTCTGGGTCTTCAGCAGGACGATGATCACATATACAGCAACAACTTCACAACAGAATGGCCGTAAAACGGGAAAGTAAAGGTGCTGAAAAGACCCAGCCAATGTATGGAGCGCTACCTGATTTAATGTTGTGATTTCTGCAGAATTCATGATCTGAAAACCTCCATATACTGACACTACTATAAATGTTTTCTCAAAGTTCAAACTGTAAAAACACTGCTCTTGAAAAGCTAGAGTAATGTGCTGTAATCTGCCTAAACAATTTCCCCTTTTACAGGTATTGTTTACTTATTTCAAATATCAACATGATCCTCAGCTTAGATAACCTTACTCCATAATTTCTTTGCACTTAGAATTAAGAAATGGTCATTTCTGCAATTAGTGCTAAAAATAGTTTTATTAATTAACTTCACCTACTTTTACTCTTACTGTTCCTTCAATATTAGCAAATGTTTACATTTTATGCCTGACAGTTTCAGCATTTTATGATCAAGCAGTGTTGAAACATGATTTCCAGTATTACTCAGAAATTTAAAGGAAGTGGTAGAGCTTCCTTTTTTTGTCATCTAAAAACAAAGGAATTTTTTGCTTTTTGTTGTGTTTTCAGATGAGTTTGATGCCCTAGAAATGTTAGTGGTGTTTTATTAAGTTTATCTTTAAGTAGTAGTTATCTCAGTGAGCTGTCAAGCTCAGGATTTGTACACAAAAGGCCTATTGGTAGTATCTAAATGAAAAATGTTATTTTCAGAGTTTTAAAAGCTTTTCTTTAGTATTTAATGTTAAAGACCTAGTTCCACTTCTGCTTAGTGCTCTGCTGCATTTCTCTACTGTGTGACATTTGTTCCAACTAAAGATGCACCAACCGAAATATAAGTACTTCACAATTGGCTCTGATCAAGGGTCAACAATGGGTCAAATACAGAAAGATCTGATATTTTTCCAATTAAAACTAAGAGTTTCCTTAATTTTTGGCCTAAAAATGCATCAACTCACAAAATCTGGTGGCCAATTTAGGGACAATTTTGTTGATGTATTAATATTTCATCATGTTATTTTATTCTAGTACTTAATCTATAGTCTTTTTTTCTTCTGTTTTGTTGTGTAGTCGTTAGAAGCCAGCAGAGGCATTAAAATAAAAATCTGCAGGTCAGACTCTTAAAGATTTTAAATCAATATCATCCAGAAAAAACTCTGTTCGGTGCATCTCTTCTGCAAACTCCTTTTCTCACTCCCAGCCCGTATTTTCTCATTTCTGTGCTGTAATATTAGATTTTCCTCCACCCTTCCCACATGTCTTTCTGGCAGAACAAGGGGTCCCTGCAGTTTGAGGACAAGTGGGACCTGATGCGGCCCATCGTTCTCAAGCTGCTAAGACAAGAGGCCGTCACCAAGCAGCAGTGGTTCGACTTATTCTCGTAAGAAATGTTTGCTCTGTCGCATTACAGCTACTCTCTCAATAAAAACAGCTGGTGGGGGAGGGGTCTGATGAGACATTGCATTGAAGACCTGAATAACCACTAGATTGTGTCCTGATAGATAAGAAGGATGCATCCACGGTGGCTAATCTGTGAAGACAGAAGTCACCACCTGTTCTGAAGGAGTTTTCCTCCATGTTTCAGTCCGTCTGCCATCTTTGTTCAGAATGTGTGAATTTCCTCTAGTATCTTTCAGATTTTCTTGATGATGGTATTATGATTCAGATTCCTGGGCAGTGTAATAAGTTTCTCAAGAGAAAGAGATGAAGAAAAATATTGGGTAGGATCTGTTATCTCTTCTGAGAGGTCTGGAAAGCACAACCAGTTTTCAGAGGAAGTGTTTGGAGGCTGGTGTGCTGGAGTTTGGGGTAAATAGTAAGGAGGTGCATGCAATAATGGAAAAGCTTTGTGTTAGCTTTCTCTGGGGTGCTATGTAAAATAGAGGAAGTGCCTTCAGGTGGAGTCGATTGAAGCCCACGATTAACTGATTATCATCAGTTTCACCACTTGTCTGTGAAAGCTGCTTTGTCAGCTTTCTGCCCTGGAATGCTATCATTGTGTTAACACACAGCATATCAGACAGGACATCAGCAGTGGCCTTAGAGAAGCACTCGCTGCCTTTTGATCAGGGAAGTAGCATAACATGCAACGTTTAGATGCATCCCTTCTGCAGCAAACCTGAGAAAAATGAATGGTTTATTACCAGGGCTCTGCAGAGCTGAATGGTTTGCTGAAGACGGAGTTCAGCAGGTTGATTCAGGAGAAAGAATCCCTCTAGGATATCCTGACAGGATAGTATTTGTTGAAGACTGGAATTAGGAACCCCGGCAGTTTTTTCATCGCCTCTAATCACTTTATTGCTTTAATATCTAAAAACTTCATTATATGATGACTTCATTACTTCATTGATGAAATGATTATATTTAGATTTGCATCAGTATCAGAAATGGAGCATTTTTTGTATGAGGCACAGGGTCTTTCGCTTTAGACTGATTGGCAAGTTTTTTTTATTTTTCTTTCCAGTGATGTCCATGCTGTGTGTTTATGGGACGATAAAGGTCCTGCCAAAATCCACCAAGCCCTTAAAGAAGACATCCTCGACTTTATCAAACAAGCACAAACTGTAAGTAGCAACTTTACTACTGATTGTTGTTTTAGTTTGAGTAATTCTCTTTAAACCATTTAGTACAGGGTTTTATTAGGTGGTAAATTTCACTTTCTCTGAGACTTTTTCATGATTTAATGCTGCGGTTGTGACCAATAGACCTCAGGGCTTTGGTTATTCTTTAATCACTGACTGCTTATTTCACTCATTTACCGTCCAGACCTTGTACATCATCCTTCCATTGATCATCTACTTTATGTTTAGTTTTCAGCTTTGCGCTAGGAATCAGGTTGGTGCTAAAATAGCATCCCTTTTTAAGACTCTTTGTAAGGTTTTTTTTTTTTTTTTTTTAAAAAAGCAAAGGAAAAATCAGTCTGTCTCCCCACCAATCACAAAAATATCCAATAAAATTGTTTTGTTTTGGGGTTTATTTTTCTAAGATCTTGAATGTGCAAACTTTAGAATGATTAGCTACTTCTACAACGGTAAAATTATAAACGGCAAAAAAAACAAAAAACGGTAGAATTACCTTTCTCATGACAATTCCAGAGCTACCCTTTTTACTCTGGTTAAAAGTATCCTAGAAAATTTGAATGATTTTTGTTTCCATTGCTCTGGAAGGACTGCGGAAATAGATTAAAATCAACCTAAAGTCCATTAGGAGGCAGTAGAGGAACCAAAGAGAAGCCCATCTGTTAACTAAACAGGGTGACAGTGGCGTTGGATGTAGGAGTTTGCCCTGAAATCCCCGAAGGATTGGTGGTTCAAGCCCCGACTCCGACTTTCAGTGTCGTTGTGTCCTTGGGCAAGACACTTCACCTGCATTGTCTACTGATGGTGGTCAGAGGGCCCGGTGGTGCCAGTGTACGGCAGCCCCGCTTCTGTCAGTGAGCCCCAGGGCAGCTGTGGCTACAATGTAACTTGCCACCATCAGTGTGTGAGTGTGTGAATGGGTGAATGAATGTAGTGTAAAGCGCTTTGGTCAAGTCTCCTGACTTGAATAAAGGCGCTATATAGGTACTAGGGATGGAACGGTTTTTGAAAACCATCCGAACCGTTCGGTTCGACTGTCTCGGTTCGGTTTGCGTGTGTTGCGTTCAGTTCAGGCGCTGCTCCTTTTTCTCATAGGCGAAGCGTTTACACTTCAGAGCAGAAGGTGGCGGTACTGCGACCAAAGCCAACCACCAGTAATAAACAAGAAGAAGAAGCGAAGCAGCGTTGCCGGGTGTAGCAGAAAAAAATCAGTTGTTATGGAGAATTGTGTGGGTATGGCGAGTGGGAAAGAACAGGAGTTGGAAGACGCGCCAGCAGCACTTTATAGGTCTGCTGTATGGGAGCGCTTTGCATTTAGAGTGACCTATGATGACAGCGGAAAGAAAGTTGTGGATAAAAGTGCAACAGCGTGCAAGCATTGTGCAACACGTTTTGTTTATGCTAACAGCAACATGACCAACATGTCATGCTAACCCCGAAATCCCACATACTCCGTCAGCGCTCCGTCCCGCTGCGCTCCATACCGCCTGCACAAAGCAAAGAATACAGCCCCCACTGTGGCTCCCGTCCGGTCCGCTCTGAGTTCCTTGGAGATGGTAGAGGGCATGCGCGAGATGATTAAATTCAAAGCAGCAAAACATGCGGAAATGAACCAGGGTTTCCGCGGATCATTAAAAATAATTACAATTCATTAATTTTTTTGGATTCTTTTCATTATATTCATAAATTTGTATTTTTTCATTAATTTTTATTATTTCTTTTATTTTTCGGTGTAACAATAAACATATACTGAACCGAACCGAAAACCGTGACCACGAAATCGTGAACCGAACCAAACTGTGGATTTTGTGAACCGTTCCACCACTAATAAGTACATGCCATTTACCATTTTTACCAAACTAGATGAAGATCACACAGCTGGCAGATCGCCTCTTCCTTTAATCCCTTCTCAAACACAAAAAATAGATTCTACTATGAATCTTGTATCAAGCAAAATAGATCAACACTAGTGAATAGAGTTTCAGCACATTCCGTTAAACAATCCTGGAGCAATCTGGGAGGAAAGAAACATTTTTCTGACATGAGTGGACCAGAAGAAAATGAAATAAGTTGCTTAAAACTTGTTATCAATTGCTCAGAGGTATTCTAAAATCTGGAAAAAAATCCTAAAAAGGTTCCTTCGATAGAAGGCAGGCTAAGAACTAAGACTGCTGCCACTCTGTGCTTAAGTGGGGAACTGCTTGTTCCGCCAAATAATGTTAAAGAATCATTTAAAAAATATGGATCATCACCAAAATTAAATCGATTGCTCCTTGGACTGAAGTTCACCTTTGGTAAAAGAATTTTTATTAAAATCTGATCAGAATTTCAAGTTATCTTGTACAAACAAACACCAAACTCAACTAAAAACTTAACCTTCTTAGCGAAGGTAATAATAGAAGTTTTAAAACCTTTGCACATTCAATCCAAACACGTATTAAATCATCTTTTTTTTTACTGCTTTGGATGTTTAATTCTGGACAGATTTTACAGACGGATCTACTCTGGATGACTCTTTAATAGTCATTTGTCCTGAGATAACCGTCGAAAAATATTCCTCCTCCTCATTAGAAAGGACATTACTCACTTGATGTTAGTTTTCAGGATGTGCGTTTCTTTTTATAAAGTATTTTTGGGTTACATATGCATAATTTCTCACCTTTTGTTTCATCCGTTGCCATGGCAGCGTGTGCTGAGTCACCAAGATGACACGGCTCTGCTGAAAGCCTACATCGTGGAGTGGAGGAAGTTCTTCACGCAGTGTGACATCCTGCCCAAACCCTTCTGTCAGCTGGAGATTACACTGATGGGGAAACAAGGCAGCAACAAGAAAACAAACATGGAGGACAGCATCGTACGCAAGGTAAGACCAAGAGGGGGGGGAATCGCTAAAGGGATGAGTTGCTATAAACCGAGAAAGCTTCACAGTAACCATGGAAAGAGAAAAGTGTCAATCCCATGTTTTTAATGGTCAAATTGGCTTGCCTGTGAAACTTCTTAATTGCTATTAAAAAAAATGATATTTTGTCTAAAAGTCCTTCATTGTTGTGTGTTACTGGCTGTTGCTCTTTTATTTAAAGAATGCCCATTTCTTTGCAGCTTTAACATGCTTCCCCCACTCTCTGCAGCTAATGCTGGACACATGGAACGAGTCGATATTCTCCAACATAAAAAGCCGCCTGCAGGACAGTGCAATGAAACTGGTGCATGCAGAGAGGCTGGGAGAGGCCTTTGACTCCCAGCTTGTTATAGGTGTACGTGAATCATATGGTAAGATGGATCAAGTATTTGCAGTAGCACACAATCACTCAGCTCTAACCACTAGGCTACCACACTGACAAAATGGCCCTTATGTCTAGAAAAGTACAGCTAAGAATATAGACCAGAGAGAGCAGGTTAGATGGGAGATACTGCTGCTGTGAGGAGAGCTTTAGCGTCTTAGTTCAGGAAGCTTGCCAACTTGGATGAGCTTGTTTATAAATGATGCATAGGAGGGAAAAGTTTTGACAAGTCCTATGAAGAAAAAGGTCTGCAAAGTCAGCTGGAAGTACCTGAAAGGATAGAAGAACCTGGTTAAACTTCATTTGGATTGTTTCTCTGGAGGAAAGCTACAAATTCTGGATCATAACTTGATACGTGTCACAGAAAGGATCTGATCTTATGAAAAGAGATGGTCAAAACCAGCCACTCTTTATATGAATTAGATGTTTATGAAACGTTAAAATCACAGAAAACATTTGTATAGCCGAGCCCCCTCCGACTGACTTTCTTTTGTTTTCTTTCCTCCAGTCAACCTGTGCTCTAACCCAGAGGACAAGCTGCAGATCTACAGGGATAACTTTGAGAAAGCCTACCTGGACTCCACAGAGAGGTTCTACAGAACACAGGCGCCGTCCTACCTGCAGCAGAACGGTGTCCAGAACTACATGAAATACGTACGACTCAATATCACAATTCTTTCTTGTTTTTTTGTTTGTTTTTTTTGAGTCTTTTTAATGTTAGATTTCTCTTTAAATAATTTGATCATGAACTGAGTTTATTGAGTGTCCAAAAGCTTCTTGATTAGGTTGGTGGTGTCGTGAATCGTCAATGAAAAGTGCGAAAAAGATTAGTGATTCTTTTCCTTTACATGTTCGACAGTTTAATAAACATTCAATATTTTAATGCAACAAACAAACTAGTAGTTTCTGAAGATCTAGAAAGGAATTATTGGTACAATTTAGATAAATACGTGAAACCACAAAAACCTGCATATTTGACACTCAAAGAAAAATGTTTTTGGGAAATCGTTGTCCTTTTTTATTTGCTAGCAAGTTTTCACTTGTCACTGTTTTTGGAAAAACACTTCCTGTATGTCTTGTTTTTTTGTTTTGTTTTTTTACCTATTTATGTTTTTGTTTAGTCAGCATAAAAAATAAGGTCAGCAGGTCAGTATTAAAGCAGGTGGCAGCCAAAGAATAGTGGCTCCTACATTGATGTGCCAGCAGCCATCTTTAATTACTGGCTGTGCTCAATGTACTTTTGTGGTCTTACTTATTAATACATAAAACTTACCGTAAAAATTCAAATATGTTTATAAAAGATTATTGAATTGATTGCTTCAATTCGATGCTAAAAAACCCACAGATCTTGTGTTTTTTCTCCAGTTTCTCCAAAAATTAAATGTAATGTTAAAACAAGGGTTCATATTCCTTAAAGTTTTTCCTGTTACAGCCAAAAAATCTAAAGTATTTTATTGAGGTTTTATATGCCTACACAAAGAAGCCAACAATGATAAATGTGACATAAATTCTTATTGTGCCATTTATTTGTGTTTAACCTTCTTTAAACTTCATGGGTTGTAACAAAATGGCTTGTATCCAGATTCTATTGGTGTTTTAACATAAAATCACAATTGAATGAACAGCAGTTTGTAGCTGTATCACATTGCTTTCGAATAACTGTTTGTGCAACAATATATCAGTGCTTTATGTTCATTTGCTTTTCCCTTGCAGGCTGATGCAAAACTCAGAGAGGAGGAGAAGAGAGCACTTAGATATCTAGAGACACGTCGTGAATGTAATTCTGTTCAAGCAGTAAGTATCTTTAAGATCTAAAAAGTCTTATATAGTTTCTTTTTCTTTCCTTTTCCCCATTTTCACCAGAATATAACATTTGAAAGACAATTTTGTGCTTATATGAACAGATAACAGTATTTCAGACTAGGAGATCTTTATATACTGTAGTAAAATTTACGAGGAGGATTCATTGCATTTACTATAATTTATTTCCAAAAAGGCTCTTGTTTTTTCTTGATTTTATTTTACTTTTTCAATCGGAGAGGGATTTTGTGTACAAATAAATATTGAGCAATGTGACCAATCACAGCAAAATCTGGTTTCCATTGTTTGTCCCTGTAGACTTAGACAAACTTTATTATCATTTTTTTTTACAAAATTTTGACAGTACAGCTCTCAAGATATTTCCATTTCTTAAAGTGCAGCAGTGATAAAATGTAAACATGGTGATCAAATGTAAACATAAGACTAGAGTATAAAGAACACTATAGAAACATCTGAATTCTATAAATAGGCATCCCATTAAAAATATATATAAACATGCACTTTACCTGTGAGTGTGTACGTGACCAAACACGCTACAAACGCACCCTTTATTATAAGTGACCTGAATCAGAACTTTAATTTTCAGTGCTTTGGCTAGGTTTATAATCTTGATCCCAGTTTCCACACTCTGACATTTAATTGGAGCTTGCTGCCTTTGTTTCTCTGCAGCTTATGGAATGTTGCGTTAACGCTTTGGTGACCTCGTTCAAGGAGACAATCTTAGCCGAATGTCCAGGAATGATCAAACGCAATGAGACCGAGAGTGAGTACCGCTGCTCCGACACCGAAATGAGAGCAATACGTCTCAATTCTGGATCTGTTGGTGAAGCAAATGGCATAGTTGTTTTCCTGCAACTAATACATGCTGCTGGTAGCATCGGTTTCAACGGACTCAGTCAGCCAGATAGGCTTTAAAAATAGACATTGGTTTACTGAGGTTTGGTTTCTTGCTAGGAAGGGGCAAGGGACACAATCCAAGACTGGAAGTCTGCAAAAAATATACTTTTGTCACTATTTAAACATTTAAATTAGATCATTGTTCTTTGTGTTTAGTTCTACCTTTACTATTTTTCATATTAGAGCTGAAGAAACGGGGACATTTGTTTCTGAAAGGCAGCTAAGAGATCAAAAAATGGTCTATTCTGAAAGAAAAAACTTTAAAAGAAGTTTAGAAAGCCGTAGGGATTATTCCAGGTGTAATTTGTTAACCTGTGTGGTTGTGAGCTAAAAAGATTTGACTTGTTTGTAACTCATGTGTTTATTTTCCCCTCGGTGAGCAGAGCTGCACCTCATGTTTTCACTAATGGACAAAGTTCCCAGTGGGATCGATCCCATGCTAAAAGACCTAGAAGAGCACATCGTCAATGCTGGACTGGCAGACATGGTGGCCTCCGCTGAGACTATCACTACAGTAGGTTTCAGCTGTCATGTTGAATGTTTTCAGCCAAAAGTAGCTTCTCTTCCTCCAGATAACTGATAGGAAATGTATGTGTACGCAGGATTCTGAGAAGTATGTGGAGCAGTTGCTTACATTGTTTAACCGCTTCAGTAAACTGGTGAAGGAGGCTTTCCAGGACGACCCTCGCTTCCTCACTGCAAGAGATAAGGTTTGTTTTTCAGCCTAACCCTCAGATCCCTGCAAAAGACCATCGAAAGAACCTTTAGGTGTTAAAGTCACGGAAAAAACGAGACTCGCTGTTATTCATTTAACACTTCTAACCAAACTAAAGTGCGCAAAACACACCAGGTTCTATACTGTATTTGTAAAATATCAAGCCAGGAGGAAGAAGATATGTGTAGAAAAACAAAGGAAACTATTCTACTTCATTGGGGTTTAAGGTTGGAAGTAGCCGCCATGTGCTGCTAATAAAGACGTCTTCCATATAGATTATTTCTGTAGTTTTGGCCTTTTGCTGGTCGGAAGCATACAGGTGTGCAAACACAACACAAGGAGGACGCACAACAGCAATGATCCTTAAAAAGAGACTTGTGCTGGACATCAGACTATTTGATAGCAGTTTTCTATGTCATTAACAATATTTTCTGAATGGAAAACATGTCTGACGGCTGGGATTATTCCCACCACAGACAGCCTGAGTTCAATGCCCTGTCACATCTTGAGCATTTAGACCATCGTATGCCTGACGCACCACAAATCATGCAAAAACGCTAGAACACATTGGATAAGTTATGGGTATGTTTTGTATAATTTATGAGCACAGTGAAGCACGCTGGCACATGTCCATATAGGCGAGTATGTATGCCATAAATGGGCCATAAGTTCAGGTAAGTTATTAGATAGTTGACATACATTAAGTGTAAGTTACTCATAAGTGGTGATGTCAAGCTTATTCATAACCTATGAGTAACTTTTGCATAACTTATGCGTGACTTATCAAGAAATTATCTCCAACGCATATCAACGTATATGACGTGTTCCAGACGACCTCTGAACGTGTTTCTAACGTACAGCTACTGTATGATGGCGTATTGGCAGCATTTTGGTATTAAAGGGGTTCAAAGGAGGAAACCAGCAGTTCTCCTCCCCATCATAGGGTGAGCGAGAAGGTGAGTGATGGATCCTCCCTGCGTTCACGGCCAGGACAAACAAACTTCCAAGCAGACATGATGCTGAATCTGCTGCGAGTGCAAACCTTCTTTTTTTCTTGTTTATTCTTTTTTTTTTTTTTTTACCGGCCGGTAAACAGCAGCTAGGTAAATACTGCGATCAAATACATCTTTTTATGCAGACTGGGCGCCTCTGGATGCATCGCTGCCCCACTCAGTACACTGGCTTGTGACATTTCCTAGGCATTACGCTGCTGTGCTTTATGCATAACTTAGGCTTTTGTTGGACATAAGTTCTGGGGTCATTATGCCAAAAATTGAAAAAAAATACATAGAAAGTTCAGTATATGCCTGTGTTTTAGAAAACCTGGGATGGCAGGCATAAGCTGGCTAAATCGTCAAGGTGTTTCAGGGCCCTCAGAATGTGGTTTTAGATGAATTGTAGAAAGCAGGGATTTCGATTTCAGGCTCTGCACACATCAGATGCTAAAGTTTATCACAGCACAGTTAAAAAAACACTGAGCACATTTTTACTGCTTTAGATGGATTCCTTTGACAATGTCTCTTTTTATTCCCTTGAAGAATACCACAGTAATATATTGAGTTTCCTCTAATTTAGCAGCAAGGTCTTCAGAGCAATCCCTTTTGGACTATAAAGAGCACAGATATTTAGATCTGAGTCTTCCAGCATTAAACATTCTTCATTCTGTTGTCTATTTTTAACACTTGAGGCCATGTTTTGTTCATCCTTATTGGGGTCGTATTACCTAAAAAGAAGGATAAGATTAAAAAAAATATCCTGTTTTTTATCATTGCCTTGATGATGAGCTAAATGCACTTGCTGTACTTTTTTTTATGCTTCCATTCGTTCCAGGCTTATAAAGCCGTCGTGAACGACGCAACAATCTTCAAGCTGGAGCTGCCTTTGAAACAGAAAGGGTGAGTTAGACATAACCTGTTTAACTGTGGAGCTGTATTATAAAGCTAACATCAATGTGTGGCTGTTTGCATTGAACCAGTGTTGGTATGAAGACTCAGCCGGAGTCAAAGTGTCCCGAGCTGCTGGCGAACTACTGCGACATGTTGCTGAGGAAAACCCCCCTCAGTAAGAAACTTACCTCTGAAGAAATTGAGCTCAAACTCAAAGAAGTGGTGAGTGGATCTTTTAACCCTTTGTCCTATTTTCTGCCAGTTTTAAAATTGGTCTCATGACTTTTATATTTATTTTTATTTGCAGCTCTTGGTGTTGAAGTACGTCCAAAACAAAGACGTGTTCATGCGTTACCATAAGGCTCACCTGACCAGGCGACTGATTCTGGACATTTCAGCCGACAGCGAGATTGAAGAGAACATGGTGGAGTGGCTGAGGGTGAGTCGCACTTTAATGTTACTCATAACAGAGAAATAAATCAATGCAGCAGAATCTGCTGTAAGGTGGAAACCATCTCAACATTGTCTCTTTGACTGACAATATAATAAAATTCATTAAATAAATACCAAAAAAAAAGATGAAATAACTAAAAGCTAAATGGAAATAATGAATAATAAAATAATGAAGAAGATACAGTTAATAAAGAGATAAAGATTAATTTAAAAAATATATTAAATTATAGATATAATGTAATTTGCTGAATAAGTGGATAAAATTAATTTAGACAGTAGATATGTTTAATAAAAGGTTAAAAATGATTAAATTCATAGAGAAAACTAAATGCATTCACACTGGTTAATATTTTAAAAGCAGAATTAGATGAATAAAATATCCAAGAGCAGATTACGGAGCAGCATCTTATATGGAGATACCCCGAACTTTTTCCAGATGTTCCTTTATCTGATATATGGGAACTGTTCCGTTCTCTAGCTATAAGAAATAGGCTTTAGACATAATCTCTCCAGTCTGTCCTGGGTTTGTCCTGCACGTTTCATCTGGCTGCTCAGCACACTGGGAAAATATTTAACAGAAATCTGTTTTTAAAACTGAGCTTCTTCCAACAGGGCAGCTAGAGCGGTCATTCTTTCCATCATGACTCTCAGTTCCTCTATACGGGTCAGAACGTGGACCGACTGTTAAATTCACATCAGAAATGGTGCACGATCTGCATCCAGGCTTGTTGTCTATAAACCCTTTCACTATATACTACCCATGCAGCAACAGAAATATTTCATCTGCAGCAGTCGGCTATAAAATCTAAACCCCCTGAAAAAGCTCAAGGGAAATGTTGTCAATATAATTTGTAACAAAGGGCAAACCTGGTGGAGTCCTGCACTGACTGGGAATGATTCATTACAGATTGCCAAGCTCAGTCTGGTTATAAAGCAACAGAATGGCTGCAGGAAATGAAAAAAAAACTGAATAGACTGAAAGAGCAGTGCAACATGGTCTTAAGCCTTCTCTGAACCAGTAAAAAAACATAAAGACTGGTTAAATAAACTGTTATACATCCTTAAAAACGCTAGTAGTAGTAAAGATTGTTCCTCAATCTTTAATTCTCCATGTAACTTTTATTAGTCTGTTAAATGTTTATTTCCTCCAACTGCATGGCAATTTGTTTTGGAATATGTGTCTCCATCAGTTTTGAAAAAAGTTTCAATAAGAGCCTTATGGGCAATTTACCAGGGTGGCACAAGTAGGGGGGTTACACAAGCTCACATTAAGAGGAGTGTTGGTAGTAGGGGGTTAGACACTGTCATAAAACCTGAATTATTGTACAATGTCCCTAAAGTAGACCTAACCATAAAAATAAAACACTTACCCAGATGGGAAAATAAAAAAGCGAGAAATGCTTAACTGAAAACGATATGCTTTATGTGCTTTTATTTTTTTTTTCTAACCCATCTTCTCTGTCTTTTTTGTGTTTCTATATTATTACGTCTTTTTAGGAAGTAGGAATGCCTGCTGATTATGTGAACAAACTGGCCAGGATGTTTCAGGACATCAAGGTCTCTGAGGACCTCAATCAGGTTTTCAAGGAGATGCATAAACACAACAAGCTGGCTCTACCAGGTACAGCATTAGCAAACACACAGCAGGCAGCTCCTTTCTCTGAGACAAAACTCTTGTGGAAAAAAAACCCAAGTAATATAAATTCAGTGGCATTTTTATTTGTTTGGACTCACGATGATGTCAGGATATTAATGGATTTTGAAATATTCATGTAGCTGGTTGGGTTTGTTGGTTTTGTTAATTAATTAATTATTAAACACTAAATTTGGCATTTCTATTACTGGATTATAGCTCAAGTTCCTGCAATATTTTTATCTATGGTAAAGTTCTTTGTCTTCATCAAATTAAGCAGCTAAAAGCCACATTTGTTTCCTCCATCCATGCTGTGTGTTTATTCCCTCCTGCAGCGGACAGCGTGAACATTAAGATCCTGAATGCGGGAGCCTGGTCACGGAGCAGCGAAAAGGTTTTTGTCTCTCTGCCAACGGAGCTGGAGGACCTCATCCCAGAGGTGGAGGACTTCTACAAGAGGAATCACAGCGGCCGTAAACTCCACTGGCATCACCTCATGTCCAACGGCATTGTGAGTAGATCTGTCAACATAAAGCAGCCACTCTCAATTAAATGCCTTCATCTTTTAGAATACTTATTTCATGCTTATTTCTTCTTTTTTTTTACTCTGTCCCTCCAATTGCATCGTTTGTTTTTCTCATAGCTTATTTCTATTAATTCTTCTATTGATAACTCTAACCGTTGACGTTTCCCATCATTTTTACAAATGAATTGACAGTTTTAGAGCTTAACTATTTAAAACATCTGTGCTGGAAGAAATCAGTGGTTCTTTATTTGCTCTGTCTGAGCACTAAAAATCAGGCTGCTTAGATTCAACTCATTTACAGATTCAAGTTGCATGGGTTTGCTACCATTGTTGTTTGTTTTCCTTTCTTCTCAGATTACTTTCAAAAACGAAGTTGGCCAATATGACCTGGAGGTAACGACGTTCCAGCTGGCGGTGCTGTTTGCCTGGAATCAGAGGCCCAGAGAGAAAATCAGCTTTGAGAACCTCAAACTGGCCACAGAGCTACCTGATGCAGAGCTGCGCCGAACACTATGGGTCAGAGCTTAGAGATTCAGCATGTCTCTTTAGTTTGACAGCTTGTTGTGGCCTCTTTCTGAATCTTAGCATAAAGTGAACGTTCAGTGTGCAAAGAGTGTATAGTCTAGGATCCATTTTCTATTTTTTTGATGAGGAATTTTCTCCTTAGGGGAATGACTTGATGCTTTATTGTGTTAAGGTTAAACTCCAAGGTGCTTGGTTTGTATTCAAACATTCATGATTCGACTTTGTAGGATTTAGAGAAACTCTTGTTGTATTTTCTAAGATCCCTAAAGTTTTCCACCTCAACCCAGAATAATAGCCTTGGTATTAGTAGCACATTTACAGTGGATGTAAATATCTGACTGGAGCTGCACTAAAAGCTCGTTAGTGGATGGTAGAGGGGAGCTCTGTGAGTTAATCATGCACCATGCAGGAATATTTGTGTATAATTTGAGCCAAAGATCTTTCTCTATTTGTAAGTAAACAAGTAGGCCCGAAACAATTAATTAGATTAATCATGATTGATCGATTATTTAAATAATCTTCAACTAATTTAGTGATCAATTAATCGTTAACTGGAGTATAGAGACTGTAAAAGATTCCTTTATCTGACAGCCACCTTGAGCAGTTATTATACCAAAATTGTAAAAAAAAGAAATAAGTAAATGTAAAAGAATTTTTCATCTGTCAATATTTTCACAGATTCATTGATTTGCAAAATAATCGTTAGTTGCAACCCTATAAACAAGTCATACTCCATGGGGGAAAATCTATGTTTTTGATGTATTGAAATATTAAATAAATACACTGTTTTTTTTTTTTTTTTTTGTTTTGTTTTTTTTTTTGCATTTTAAAGCCTAACTCCTTTTTTTTCTCTTCTTAGTCTCTTGTTGCTTTTCCTAAACTGAAGAAGCAAGTCCTGTCGTATGACCCCTCAGTTAGCTCGCCCAAAGACTTCACAGATGGCACGCTCTTCTATGTCAACCAGGAATTCTCGCTCATGTATGTTCTGTCAGTTACTAGGAAAACATTTCAAAGCTTTGACCATTTCATTAGTGAGAGAAACAGGCGTAATCGATGGCCGTGAGTGTTGCTCCTTTTATAAAATGACTTGCTAATATTTGGTGACTTCTTGGTGTCTTATTTATTTTCTCAGTAAAAACTCCAAAGTTCAGAAGAGGGGAAAGATCAATTTGATTGGTCGTCTTCAGCTCACGACGGAGCGAATGAGAGAAGAGGAGAATGAAGGAATCGTTCAGCTCAGAATACTCAGAACTCAGGTACATCCCAGAGCTATAATAAGAGAGAAACGAGTCAGCAGCTCCTTTCATTTCAGGTTAATAGCTCCAGGAATAACAAATATACAGGAAAGTGCGTCCACCTAAAACACCCAGATACAAGCATGCAGCATCAGCTGTAGTAATCTTATGTGCTCAGATATGCAGAACTAGACTATTCTGTACACGAGGCAAGGCAGTTGTTTTTTAAAATTCATTAATAAATGTTTGGAATTTTGCATGTTCTGTAATTTAATTAAGGATTTTTTTCCCCTGAATCTTTATGAAGTTATTATTTATATATATAATTTTGAGGCAACCTTCAGTTTTAGAAAATAATATTTGATTACTTCAATATTCTCTTCTTAAAAATGCCTTTTTACCACCATTAACCAATTTAGTATCCTTTGAAAGTTAAAATTTATAAAAAAGAAAATTAGCTAAATGATTTTTATTGAAACCTTTTTAACTATAAATTTGGATCAACACTGCAAAGTAGACAAAGTATTTATTTATTGTTATTTTGGCCCCAGTTTGGACACTTAATGAATAACATAAAGTTTCTAATAAATACCAAGTGCAATACACTGCCTTGATGGTGTTCAAATCTGAAAAGTGAACAGTGTTCGTATTAAGCCCCACCCACCCCAATAGTATGTAGAGTGATGAGTTGTAGTTTCTAATACGAGCCTTTGGGGTATTTCGTAATGAGAGTTGCACATCTAGACACCATTTTTTTCTTTAATCTTTTTATATAATCTATTTGCAAATTAGCTGAGGTTGTCAGGATTGCACCTGTCAACAACAATTTTCAACTTGTACCATAAATTATCAGTTGGCTTTTTCTCCAGACTTTGACTAGGCCATACTAATGTGAACGTTGACCAAAACAATATATATTTAGCTCTGATTGGGTTTTTAGTTTTTGTTTTGCTGCATGACGTTGCAGCGCCTCCTTGGACTCTTTTGCAGCCTCTAACAGATTTTTTTCCCATGGTGGACCTGTCTGCAGGTTCAACCATCTTCACAATTCTATCAGTTTTCCTGTTGGTGCTAAGCATAGCTACATGGTTGCTGTGTCCCTTATGTGGCTTGGGCTAAACTGAAAACATGACTTCTTTCTTTCTTATGGATACAACTAACAATATGCCTCTAGACTGTCGCTGCATGCATTGTCAGTATGATGGATTGCTGCAATTGAACTGGCTGCCCACTGCCACAACAAGAAAAACTTTGAAATGACATGTGTTGCGAATTGGTGCAATATAAATAAATTTGAATTAAAGTGAATGATTCAATGCCTTCCTCGCCTAGCCTGAACATCCTCCTCTTGGAAGGTCTGCAGTTTTTCCATCCTCTTAATTTTCCAAATAAAGGATCGAGCTGAGATGCTGAGAGCTTTAGGATATTAAGCTTCTCTTCCACTTTCTCCTTGCCCTGTCTGCAAGGAGAAACACAGCCCTGTCTGCCGTGTTCCTCTTCTTAATGCTGTCTGTTCTAAATACCAAACCTCTGAGGTCTTTACAGACATGCTGGATTTAAATTTAAATCAATTACTTTAGAATAAAAACAGTCTCATTGAAATTTCCCTTTTTTTTGTACATTGAATTTTAAACACTGATTTTTTTTTACACATTGAATTCCTTATACTGAATTTTTATCTGGTGAAAATTGTTGCAATTGTTTTGACCTTTTGGTGAACTCAAGCCAAAGCAATCTACACTTGATGCAGTGTAGCAACTTCTAGCTATGGAAATTAGCTCATTTCATGAGGGAGAAAAAAAAGGAAGTTTGCCCCCAGCCCCTTCTTCCGGATCAAACCAAGAGCCTTGGCAGACAGGGGTGCCATGCTAGCTGTGATCGGCTCAGTTATTTCACCCAGTCCAATTAGATGAAAAACTCTAATGGCTGTCTATTAGTAGCTAACTAATGTTTTGTAATCGTATCTATTTAACAAGAAAAACTCCTCATTCAGCTTCATTCAACCTGGAACAATGATATGCCCAACTGGTGTGTCCCATGACCATATTCGCTCATTTCGTTGGCTAGAAGGTGCTCGCATCAAGGGTCGTTTGCTTTTGCATGAGTTCACCAAGAGGTCAAAACATTTGCAGCTGAATTTTTTGCAGGCAAATTTTTTGCAGCTGAATTTTTTCCAGGCAAATGTTTTACCAAATATAAATTCAGTTTAAGGAATGCAATGTGTAAAAAAAATTCAGTTTTTAAAATTCGATGTACAAAATAAAGGCGGATTCCAATGAGACTGTTTTTCTTCTATAAATTACTCATTATCTGACTTCTGAAAGCAACATTTATTACAAGATATCAGCGTAAAAGGTGTGTGATCCTCAATCCAATCTGGGAGAAAAATTAAATGTTTTTTGGTTTTGAAGTGACAAAATGTGAACAAAAAAAACACACTAAACTTTAAAGCTACAGTGTGTAATAATTACAGGGATATACAGTCAGAAATGTAATATATTATACATAACTATGTTATTTATCATCATCTACGAGCTCAGCCTCTTAACCTTAATATTTGCGTTGCCTTAGAATTCGTTATTTATAATTACATAGGAGCGGGTCTTGAAGCCATGGAGGCAGACATCTTTGCGCTACGGCAGCGCAGAGCCAACAAACTAGCGATTGCGAGATCGCCCATTACGCTCGAAAGTAACTACGGCAAGTTGAGAGAGATGAACTGAGACGGTACTGAAATCTATACCCTACACAGACTAATGAAATACTATCTGTAAAATTCTCTATGTAAACAAACCTCATCACTTGAGAAGGTAGGTGATGCGGACGTCGTGGAAGACATTTTGTCCCGTAACGCTCGCCGTACTGTTGTGGGGGAGAAGCGGTTGGGGGGAGATGTTCATGTTGCTGCGGTCTGCAGTCTGGACGTTAGATGTCGCTGAAAATTATACACTGTAGCTTTAAGATCAGATCCTTTGCATTTTTTAGAATCTCTAACATTTTAATGAGATCTGCTTTTTTTTGTCCAGGAGGCTATAATCCAAATCATGAAGATGAGGAAGCGCATTAGCAATGCTCAGCTGCAGACGGAGCTGGTGGAAATCCTGAAAAACATGTTTTTGCCTCAGAAGAAGATGATAAAGGAGCAGATCGAGTGGCTCATCGAACACAAATATATAAAGAGGGACGAATCGGACATCAACACCTTCATCTACATGGCCTAGACACAGAGGAAGGAGTTGCATTCCTGTCGTTTTTCTTTTACCGCTGGCCTGCCACTGGCGCTTTATGATCCTGGAGAGGAGGGGAACAAGGAGTAAAAGGAGGTGTCCAAAATAAGGGAGAGGCCTGAGGATGGATGCGGAGGATGAAGGGACAAGGTTGAGCCTTTTCAACAAAAGTGTGGATGTTTTTTTCTGTTCACGTGACGCCAGTGTGTTATCGGAGTGTCATTTAACGATGTAGCGTTGAGTCATTGGGCTGTCTGTTTGTATTTGCTGCCCTCTAGTGTCCGATCTGAGGAGACGCACACCAGCGTGGCCCTTTGGCCAGCAGCTCAGAAGAAAAACAAAATAGTAACATATTAAAATTTAAAGACTTCCTGCCTTACCGTCCTCAGCAGGGAGCTGCAGAAGAGAAGGTGGGACATGTGCAGCGAAGGGAGGACAAAGGTAACAGGCTGCTATCAGTTTATTGCTTTCTCTCGACGCCTCAGCTGCCGTCTCCACGGCGGCCGTCTTGCATCCCTCCAATTCCCTATTGCTCTTGTGGAAAGCAGAGAACTGCAAGTCAAAATTGCCAATGGAGGAGGAGCGGTAAAGGACAAGTTCAGAGTACCGAGGAGTATTTTTGCCAAATTGGGTGTGTGTGTCTGTGTGGTGTGTGTGTGTGTGTGTGTGTGTGTGTGTTTGGGTGCATGATGTGGATCTGTTCTTTTACATGTGTGTATCTGTATGTGCACTTTCAACAGCATGCTGCTCTATGATTATTATTTTTTTTCCTTGTATGGAAAATCTATCACACTCTGTGACGACCGTATGTGAGCTGATTGAAAGCTGAGGATCTGCCACTGGTATAAAGTTGATAACTGATTTTCTTCTATCTCCCTTTGATTGCAGTTGAGACGGTTTCAACTTATAGTATTTGTTGAACAGTTATCACACTGCAAACTATTTATGTGGGGTGTAAGAACCGATGCTCTGGGCGACATGAAATTAAATTTCAAGATGGAAAAATTGAAATTATTGGCCGGGTTACTTTTTTGTGTCAAGAGTTCAGTGGGAAAGGATCATTTCTGGTCAGCAAATTATACTTTTGCCGTAGCAACACATAGATAGGTACTCTAAGGTTGTCTGCTTCAGTTTCGATACGGTCATGGGAAATTAAAGTGCCCCTTTGATCAGTATTACATAAAGGGACGTTTCAAATCAAAACTGGTCTGTAACAGTCAGCCAAACCGAATCTTTCAGTTTGCAAATCAGAGATTCTAAATGTTTCTTAATTACAGTGGGGAAATTAAGTAATTGACGTCCTGCTGTTCTGCAAGTTCTCCCATTTCGAAATCATATAGGGGTCTAAAATTGTTATCGTAGGTGCATGTCCACTGTGAGAGACATCATTTAAAAAAACAACAACTACTGTATGATACAGCTGTAAATAAGTATTTGAACACCTGAGAAAATCAATGTTAATATTTGGTCCAGTAGCCTTTGTTTGCAATTCCAGAGGTCAAACATTTCCTGTAGTTTTTCACCAGGTTTGCACACATTGCAGGAGGGATTTTGGCCCACTCCTCCACACAGATCTTCTCTAGATCAGTCAGGTTTCTGGGCTGTTGCTGAGAAACATGGAGTTTGAACTCCCTTGAAAGATTCTCTATTGGGTTTAGGTCTGGAGACTGACTAGGCCACACCAGAACTTAGATATGCTTCTTCCAGAGCCACTCCTTGGTTATCCTGGCTGTGTGCTTTGTCATTGTCATGTTTGAAGCCTCTCAGCCTCCACCAATCTTCAATGCTGTAAATGAGAGAAGGAGATTTTTCCCCAAAATACATGGCCCTGATCATCGTCTCCTTAATACAGTGCAGTCGCCCTTTCCCATATGCAGAAAAACACCCCCAAAGCATGATGCTACCACCCCCATGCTTCACAGTAGGGATGATGTTATTGGGATGGTACTCATCATTCTTCTTCCTCCAAACACAGTTAGTGGAATAATGACCAAAAAGTTCTATTTTGGTCTCATCTGACCTCATGACTTTCTCCCATGACTCCTCTGGATCATCCAAATGGTTACTGGCAAACTTAAGATAGGCCTTGATATTTGCTGGTTTAAGCAGGGGAACACTCCGTGTCATGTATGATTTCAAACCATGATGTCTTAGTGTAGTACCAACAGTAACCCTGGAAACTGTGGTCCCAGCTCTTTTCAGGTCATTGACCAGCTCCTCCTGTTTAGCTCTGGGCTGATTTCTCACCTTTCTTAGGATCAATGAGACCCTACGAGGTGAGATCTTGCATCGAGCCCCAGTCCGAGGGAGGTTGACAGTCATGTTTAGCTTCTTCCATTTTCTAATAATTGCTCCAACAGTGGACACCAAGCTGCTTGGCAATCTCCCTGTAGCCCTTTCCAGCCTTGTAGAGGTGTACAATTGTTTCTCTAGTGTCTTTCGACAGCTCTTTGGTCTTGGCCATGTTAGTAGTTGGGTTCTTACTGATTGTATGGGATGGACAGGTGTCTTCATGCAGCTTATGACCTCAAACAGGTGCATCTAATACAGAATAATAAATGGAGTGGAGGTGGACATTTTGAAGGTAGACTATCAGGTCTTTGAGAATTTTAGCTGATGGACAGGTGTTAAAATACTTACCGTATTTGCAGCTGTATTATACAAATAAATAGTTTAAAAAATCATATTCTTATATCTGGATTTCTTCTATAACAGTGGACATGCACCTACAATGAAAATTTCAGACCCCTCCATGATTTCTAAGTGGGAGAACTTGCAAAATAGCTGTGAGTTCAAATACTTATTTTCCTCACTGTAAATACGACGAAGCCAGTATTTATTAAAGCAAAACAGTAGAAGGTACTCTTATCTGATAATCAAATGCTTTTCTTTTCCGTTGTGTCATCCGGTTTTGACTAGTTCTATAGAAATACTTTTCCATAAATAAGACTTCCATCATAAATGATTTATATCATTAATGTAAATGAAAAGTAAAAACTATATATGATATAAATTCATCACACAGTTCTAACGTTCAGTTTCTGTATTTTAATATTGCATTAGATCAATTAAAAAGGATTTTAACCTACATCACCTCTCTGCAAACTGTCCAATGCATATACAGTTAGGGCCAGAAATATTTGGACATTGACACAAGTGCACACTCCCAGCTGCAATATGAGAGTTTCCACATCCAAATCGGAGACAGGGTTTAGGAATCATAGCTCTGTAATGCATAGCCTCCTCTTTTTCAAGGGACCAAAAGTAATTGGACAATTGACTCTAAGGGCTGCAATTAACTCAGAAGGCGTCTCCCTCGTTAACCTGTAATCAATTAAGTAGTTAAAAGGTCTGGGGTTGATTCCAGGTGTGTGGTTTTGCATTTGGAAGCTGTTGCTGTGACCAGACAACATGCGGTCAAAGGAACTCTCAATTGAGGTGAAGCAGAACATCCTGAGGCTGAAAAAAAAAGAACAAATCCATCAGAGAGATAGCAGACATGCTTGGAGTAGCAAAATCAACAGTCGGGTACATTCTGAGAAAAAAGGAATTCACTGGTGAGCTTGGGAACTCAAAAAGGCCTGGGCGTCCACGGAAGACAACGGCGGTGGATGATCGCCGCATACTCTCTTTGGTGAAGAAGAACCCGTTCACAACATCAACCGAAGTCCAGAACACCCTCAGGGAAGTAGGTGTATCCGTCTCTAAGTCAACAGTAAAGAGAAGACTCCATGAAAGTAAATACGTACAAAGGGTTCACATCTAGATGCAAACCATTCATCAATTCCAAAAATAGACAGGCCAGAGTTAAATTTGCCGAAAAACACCTCAAGAAGCCAGCCCAGTTCTGGAAAAGTATTCTATGGACAGATGAGACAAAGATCAACCTGTACCAGAATGATGGGAAGAAAAAAGTTTGGAGAAGAAAGGGAACGGCACATGATCCAAGGCACACCACATCCTCTGTAAAACATGGTGGAGGCAACGTGATGGCATGGGCATGCATGGCTTTCAATGGCACTGGGTCACTTGTGTTTATTGATGACATAACAGCAGACAAGAGTAGCCGGATGAATTCTGAAGTGTACCGGGATATACTTTCAGCCCAGATTCAACCAAATGCTGCAAAGTTGATCGGACGGCGCTTCACAGTACAGATGGACAATGACCCCAAGCATACAGCCAAAGCTACCCAGGAGTTCATGGGTGCAAAAAAGTGGAACATTCTGCAATGGCCAAGTCAATCACCAGATCTTAACCCAATTGAGCATGCATTTCACTTGCTCAAATCCAGACTTCAGACGGAAAGACCCACAAACAAGCAAGACCTGAAGACTGCGGCTGTAAAGGCCTGGCAAAGCATTAAGAAGGAGGAAACCCAGCGTTTGGTGATGTCCATGGGTTCCAGACTTAAGGCAGTGATTGCCTCCAAAGGATTCGCAACAAAATATTGAAAAAAAAATATTTTGTTTGGGTTATGTTCATTTGTCCAATTACTTTTGAGCTCCTAAAATGTGGAGTGTTTGTAAAGAAATGTGTACAATTCCTACATTTTCTATCAGATATTTTTGTTCAACCCTTTAAATTAAACGTTACAATCTGCACTTGAATTCTGTTGTAAAGGTTTAATTTCAACTCCAATGCGGTGGCATGCAGAGCCCAACTCGCGAAAATTTTGTTACTGTCCAAATATTTCTGGCCCTAACTGTAGACAGTATTTGACTGGAGCCTGGATTGCATCCATGCAGAGCAGCATTGTGGGTTTGGTGTTTCTCATCCTTAGAGCGGTTTGTTGACCAGTCAAACATGGTGACACCATGGTCATTTTTCCCTATATAAATGTGGATGGGTCCCGGGTCCTACAGGAAAATGAAATCAGCATCTCAGAAGGAGGAAGCGTGAAGTACAAGAAGTTTCCTGTTAGATTGCTGCATTGACTGTGGATCTTGACTGATGTCCATCTTCGTGGTTCTGCCTCACTCTGGGGCCTTGATTTTCCAATCAAATGCAGTTTTCAGGACATTTAACCACTTAACTAATATAGGCAGTTCCTCTCAGCCCCAATAAGACCCTAATATTAGTACTTCAGAATAGGCTTAGCTTAAGCATATGTCCTGAATAAATATGTGTATGTTGGCATTAGGCAATTGCCCTGCAATCCCCTTTTCAGGCCTTTTTCTGCCATGTTTTCCTTTGATTTAACTTGCAGTTGAAAAAGGAACTTCTTAAGCAGTGATCTTTTCAGACTTAACCTGCTTATGAAAGGTGTGAGCACTCACAAGACAGCTGTCAAGTCAGTAGTCGTCCCTTGTGTTTTTGCAGGCAAAGTTTCCTATTATTAAAATAGAAAAATTTAATTTTAGAGAACCTGATTTTGGTCTTGGAGATTAAAATTAACTATAAGCCATGATCACAAGAATTATGAGAAATTCAAATTAGACCTAAAAGACCCTGTGTGTAATGAACCCATATGATATAAAACTTGTCGTTTTTGAATTCGCTTTTCATAAACCCATTTATTCTGGGTTAATTTTACTTAAACCTCAAGACGGTCTTCACTGACACAAACTTATTAGAATTGGGGTCCGGCTGCAATATAAATATGGTTTAAAGAGATTAATATGGAATGAATGAGCAGATGAATGAGCGATCTTCTTTTTCCCACCTATTCTATGCTGTTGTTGCTCTCATATAAAGCCCTTTTAATGCATCTCTGACATCTGTTCTCTTCTTTTGGGGGAGGTTTGGGGGTAGTTTATAGCCAGCTCACAGGACACAAGATTACTAAGAAGGTTTTTACAATTTTAACTGTGTTCTTTATCTCAGTCATACAAGAAACACACTGCATAAGCTAAAGGTTTGTATTCAAGGTGAGGATGAGATATTAGAGGAGCTGCTTATTGGAAGCTGAACAGGAGAACTAATTACTATTAGTATACTTTAATTGGCATGTTATTAAAAGATTCTTAAGATTTAAGTGCTTTGCTTAAAAAGTATTTTCTTAAAGAGAGGGT